CGCACCTGGTACCAACGCGTCATCGGCCGTCCAGGAGATGTCCAAAAGTACCTGGAAGTTCACATCAACGGACATCCCACCCGCCTCCAGTTGGACACCGGCGCCGACGTCACCATCATTTCTCGTCCAACCTGGATGCAGCTCGGAAGCCCTCATCTACAGAAGACCTCCGACGTCTTCAAAGGAGCCAATGGATCCCCACTACCAATTCACGGAAGCTTCGAAGCCGCTTTCGTGGTCATGGACAATCGAGGAAGGCTCATCCCGGACATGGCACCTGCTATGTCTCCGACGACAACGACCTTCTCGGCATCACATGGATCGAGCAGATTCGAGATTTCAACCACGTTCTGAGGCGATTCAACGCACAGAAAGTCCATACACTGAACAACGAGGCGCTCCGAGAAAGACGATCGCGAATCTGCGGAACCAGTGGATGTCTTCAAGCCCGTACTTGGATACTGCACAAGACCTAGGCGACACTCTGTGCTCGCCCACTCTTTATCAAGAAGAGACCGGTTCCATACCGCTTGTCGACGCCGAGATCGACCGTCTCATGGCACAGAACGTCATCTCCGCCGTCGATCACTCTCGATGGGTCGTTGTGAGAAAGGCCAATGGTACCATTCGACTTTGCGCCGATTTCTCGACGGGACTCAACGACGCATTGCTGTTGCATAGGCATCCACTACCCACCGCGGAGGATGTTTTCACAAAGCTCAATGGCGGAACCGTCTTCTCACAAATCGACTTCGCCGACGCTTATCTACAGGTCGAAGTCGATGACGACTCCAGAGAGCTCCTCACCATCAACACGCACAGAGGACTCTACAGATACAATCGTCTACCGTTCGGAGTCAAGTCAGCTCCTGGCATCTTCCAGCAGATCATCGACTCCATGATCGCTGGACTCAACGGCGTTGCTGCCTACCTCGACGACGTCATCGTCACCGGCCGCACTCTCTCCGAGCACAACGCCAACCTGGAAGCCCTATTTTCAAGGATATCCGACTACGGCTTCCGCGTCCGCATCGACAAGTGCCATTTCGTGATGACACAGCTCACCTATCTTGGAAACGTCATCACTGCTGCCGGACGCCGACCCGATCCAAAGAAGATCGACGCTATCTCCAAGATGCCACACCGAAGGATACCACCCAAGTGCGGTCATTCCGGATTTTTTCGGATTGAAGAAAGGAGTCCCTGCCTATTCCGCCAACCGATTGCAACGATGGAGACTTACGATGCTCGCTTACGATTTCGACATCGAGTACCGAAACACCGCAAGCTTCGGACAAGCCGACGCACTGTCTCGTCTCATCGCCATGCAATCGCCACCGGAAGAAGACGTATCATTCGCCAATATCGCCAAGGGACGTTAACGCCATCTTCGCCGAGAACGTGAGCCGCTTACCAGTCACTGCCAAGAGAGGTTGCCCACTCCACAGCTGAAGACGACTGCCGTCAGATCATGGACCATATCGTTCACAACAGCTGGCCGAAGAAACCATCACGTACCGTTGCGAGGTACGCCCATCTACGCAACGAACTCTCAACACAACAAGGATGCTTCTTTGGAAGCCGCATCGTCATCCCGCCAGCACTCCAACCGTCTGTTCTGAAAATGCTACACGAGGGACATCCAGGAGTGAACCGAATGAAAGCCCTCGCTCGTCACTGTCTTCTGGACAAGGATCAACGAGGATTGGAGAAACTCGTCCGTGCCTGCAACGATTGCCAAGAAGCCGCCAAGTCGCCAGTCAAGAACACGCTCTGTTCTTGGCCTCGTTCGGATGCGCCATGGAGCCGGATCCACATCGACTTTGCCGGCCCAATCGATGGAATGTCGTACCTGGTGATCGTCGACGCATTCTCCAAATGGCCCGAAGTCATCTCAATGACTTCCACCAACCAGCACTGCCACACTGAAGGAACTCCGTCGCTTGTTCGCTCAATTCGGATTTCCTCGCATCATCGTCTCAGATAATGGAACTCAGTTCACCGCTGCCGAGTTCCAGGATTTTTGCAAGAAGAAAGGAATCGAGCATATCCGGTCGCCGCCCTTCCACCCCCAGTCCAATGGTCAAGCTGAGCGCTTCGTGGACACATTTAAGCGCACGCTCAGGAAGCTGAAGAAGCACGGACCGACCGACGAAGCTCTCCAAACATTCCTCTTCACATACCGGAATACGCCTTGCACCGCTTCGCCCAACGGAAGGTGTCCCGCAGAAAACTTCCTCGGAAGACGCCTTCGCAACACACTGGATCTGCTGAAGCCGGACAACAAGGAAGAACTTGTTGTGGACACGAAAATGGAAAAGCAGTTCAACCGTCATATGGAGCCAAACCCAGGACGTTCCAACCTGAAGATATGGTCTACGCTCGTGACTACCGATCCGGACAACCCAGATGGACTCAAGGACGGATCCTATGCCGACGTGGACGCACTGTGTACGAC